GTCACCACTTACCACAGGCCCAGGTCCCTCGACCCAAGGAGGTTCAACCTCAATAAAAACCTTGAAGACATAGGCGTAGGCAGAGAGTTCATGAACAAAAACCAAACTGCATGTGAAACACTTCAAAGAATCAACAACTGGCATATCATCCTACCGAAAAGTTTCTGCACATCTAAAGAAATCACCAGCAGAGTAAAAAGAAAACCCACAAACTGGGAAAAAATTTTAGCTGTCCCTCAGACAAAGGACTTCTATCTGAAACACATAAAGAATTAAAAAATATCAGCCCCCCCCAATTCAAAGACCCAATCCAAAAATGGGCAGCTGAGATGAACACACACTTCTCAGATAAAGAAATACAAATGGCAAATAAACACATGAGAAAGTGTTCAACATCATTAGTCATTTGAAAAATGCAAATTAAAACAACACTGAGATTCCATCTCACCCCAGTAAGAATGGTTAGCATTATGAAATCAACCAATGACAAATGCTGGCAAGGCTATGGAGAGAAAGGAACTCTTCTCCACTGCTGGTGGGAATGCAGACTGGTGAAACCACTGTGGAAATCAGTTTGGAGATTCCTCAGCAAACTAGGTCTAGAGGTCCCATTCAACCCAGCTATTCCCCTTCTGGGTATTTTCTCAGAACATCTAAAAACACTGTATCACAATGATATATGTATACTTATGTTCATAGCAGCACAATGTATAATTGCTAAACTGTGGAAGCAACCCAAATGTCCATCCACTGAGGAATGGATAAAAAAATTGTGGTACTTTTATATAATGCAATATTACTCAGCTATAAAGAAAGATAAACTGGAGGTTTTTACAGGTAAATGGTCACAACTAGAGACCATACTCATAAGTGAAATTAATCAGACCTGCATGCGCAAGCACTGCATTTTCTCACTAGTGTAAAACCTGAAAGAATGAATAAAAACTAGGAGGTATAATAGACATTGTGAAAGGAAAGGAAAATGCTCAAGGGTAAAGGGCAACTGGGGTGTGGGAAAAGAGAAGGGAAAGAAGGAGAAATTATGTAAGTATGTACATACAGGATAACAGTTGTACTACTGTCTTCTATTGCTCTACAGAAAGAACAGTTAATGATTACTTATTTGATCAATATTGCATGTCTCTTTGTTTTCCTGAGAAAGTACTTTGAAGATATCAATATGTAATACAACAAGCATTGTTAATTTCCTACCACTTCGTTTGTAACTCTGTACTGTTTGTATTGTTCTTTTACTATTTTGTAAATGGTTGTCTGTTTGTTAATATTTTCCTTCTTTTATATTCAAAATTTAAAAAAAAAAAAAAAAAAACATTTTCTGGAAGGACTAATAGGAGAGCCAAGACTTTAGGTTCTTTACCAGGTTAGAGCTGTAAAGAAAAAATACATTTTTTCCTTCCTCTTGTTATCAGACCAATTTTAACGTTAACTGTTAACTTCAATGATTGACAAAAATAAAATTTTTCCTTATGTGTTACACTAAATCAAGCAGAAATGGTTAGTAAGAAAGAATAAAAATTTTCCAGAGGGTGTGAAAAATTCTGGCTAAGATCTAACAAGTCCGTTTGTAGACATATACACTTACAAGCAACAAGCACGAAATGTCAGTCTGAAGAATTTCTGAAAGACAGGGTTAAAGGTGCATTAGAGATCTACAGTTCGAAATTTAGGTTCCAGAATTTCACTGGGGATTCTTATAACATTGTCACAGTTCTTCAAAGTGGAAATGCAAAGTGTAAGGTGGAACAAACTGCTTTTTGCTTGACAGAGAACAAGAGCAAAGCTGGGAATCTTGACCCTAACTCAAAACCCTAACTGCAAGATCACAGTATTAGTCTAGCTGACAAGCTAGATAATAAAAAAAGACAGAGAAATTACTGATTGCTATCATTTCCACAGCAGAGAGGTTCACTTTCTAAACTTTAACATTAAATGGTTCTCATACCTTGATACAAGAATATAAAAAGAAAAAACTTTTATATGTTACCTTATGTGAAACTGGTTGTATCTGTCTTCACCAGACGGTTTTTTAATAGCAACAGCTAATTTTTTCCATCCTTCTTGAGGATCAATAAAATCTGACAGCTTCCTAATTAGTCCAACATTGAGGCAGCGCACATATGTTGATGGTGTTATGGGTGTGCTCATCTTCTAGTCCTGAAATGTGAAAATTCTCATTAAAACTTTTCAGTAGGTTTACAGGTGACATCTGTAAGCTTATGTATTATCCCTTGGGTCCTATATGAAATACTGGCAAACGACTACACGGGAGCACTGCGAAGTCACCTAGGTGATGCCCTAAGGACAAACCCAAATCGAAATGAAGCCATCTCGTTGTCCACTGAGTTTACTCTCTTTTTCCACCAACAAATATTGATAAACACTTAAGGACTTTTTTCTGACACTGATGTTTTTCAACTGACATTTATACAAAGGAGCAAAAAGTTTATCTGAAAGATCCCTTTGACATGTTCAGGAACCCAGTTTTTTAAAATTTGAAATATTTTTCTCAATCAGTACTTATTTAGTGTCAAAAACTTTTGCAGTGTTGTTTGATAAAAGTAAAGTACAGAAGTAGTTTGCATAGCAGGAAAAGATTTATTCCACCACAGAATTGGTACAGAGCTCCTCTTTATTTTCTGAGTCCATGAGATCTGCCTGGCCATAAGTCACTTCCCACTAAGCTAAAACCTAGGTTCACCACGTCAGCTGCTCTGCAGACAGAACCTTTATTTCCTCAGTCATCTTTCTTTCTACCCTGGAGAGCGGCAGGCAGAGATAAACCTCACAATCTGTGACTCCAAATGTATGCATGTGTCCCTGCTTCTATAACCTGGCGCACTGTCCGTGTCACTCTCTTTTTCAGAAGGACCATTCCTTTCCTTTCAGTCACTTGTATATTCAGTGAACATGTCCATCCGGGTTTTATACTCAGCAACGGAAACGTGGGAAAAATCTTTGTTCTCAAGTTGCTCAGTCTATCAGTGGAGACAGTTAAAAGAGTGATAAACATTACAAAAGATATTTAGGACGCTAGGGGGCGCACAGAAGGGGCACCAAGAAGAGTTCAGAATGAGGTGCAGTATATCCAGACAGACACGGTTGAGTAAGAGGCTGAAAAGGTGAGTGAAAGGGAATGACGACAGCCTCAGGAGGAAAGCACTTGGGAAAAGGTGCGGACAACATGGGTGAGGCTCAAGCAAGGAGTCCAGACGGCTAGTCACAGGATGCACGCGTGAACTGAGAAGAAACAACGCTGGAGAGGCCCTAGGGCCAACTAATGATGTGCCTTACGTGCTAAGACCAGGAGTTTAACTTACACTGTAGTAAAAATGACAGGGCAGACGTGTCAGGATTTTTAAGGGGTGGGGGTGTCAGGGCTTTTTTTCCTTAGGTGGATTCTGCTGGATAAAATGTAGAAGAGCTGTATATAAGGCAAGAAGACCAGTTTGAAAACTTCTGCAACAATCTAGGTCAGCAGAAGTGAGAGCCTTAAAAAGGCAGTTAGAGAACAGAGAAGAAAAGGGTTAAACAGTTTAGAAGTCCAAGATAACTCTGAATTAATACTAGGAGGACAACAATACACAGGGTATCAACCACTGTCGCTGTCCTAGTAGGCTGTTTTGAAACTTGGTTTGTTATGTTCACCTTTTCTTTTAAAGGAAGGAACACCTGAGACCAGGGAAAGGAGAAAAGGAGGAGGTGAACTATATATATATATATATATATACACACACACACACACACACACACACACACACAAGATAGCTGGGGTAGTTGTACTGCTGCCTTCTATTGCTGAAAGGAACAGGTGAGGCTTAATTGTTTGATCAATCTTACACGCCTATGTCTGGTGATCCGAGCACCTACTCTGAAGATAATAATATGTAATATAACAATGACTGTTCATTTCCTATCACCTTGTTTTGAAATTCTGTAGTTTTTATTTTTTGTTGTTTTTGACTTTTTTCTCTTTAAAATAAAATTTAAAAAAAAGACTTAGAAGGCCATATCAAAACAGTTTCATGAGATCAGAGTTACAGAAAAGAGAGAGCGAGGGAAAATAAAGATGATTACTGGGTGTGTGAAAGGGCTGCCTCTGGCACCACCTGGGTGAGCTGGCACCAAGTGGGTATACAAGGCCGGGGCTCAGCAGAGAGGTTTCGGCCTCTATGCATACATTCCCATCTGGGAATTGAGAGCGTGTGTGCAAGTAACAGAAAAGTGACATTACTTTACAGTTTCCCCAAACTCTTTACTGCTGAATGGAACACAGCTGCACGCTCACATCCGATCTGCATCCAATCCACTGCAGCATGTTACTGCGGTTGATGCACATGAAGAAAATACCGCTTCACACAGATACACAGTTGGAGAGGGGAGTTTCTAAAGAGCTTTTTGACTAGGTAGAAATTATTGTTCTCTGACACTAAAAGTTGATAAGGAATAATTTTCTAACAAGTAAGCTATGTTACCTGTTAGAATCTGAAGTTGTATCACTGAATACTGCACATTACAATCCGCTGTGCTCAATGAATCTTTTACCCATATGGAAATCTGACTTTATGACCCTGCTGAAGAGTCCCGGAGAGCCCAGTCATACCTGGAGAACCGCTGGGCTGAGAGCTGAAGGCTGAAGCTGGCTGGTGACACAAATGGGACAGCGAATAGAGAACAGGGGAAACGATCAGCCTCTAAAGGGAGAACTCTTTTTTGAACCCAGAAAAGCAGAGGTCTCAATACAGATATATGTGAAGGAAAGGGAGGGTTCTCACAAGCGGTTATTTTCTCTGAAAGAGAATGTGAAGCTGTCTAGAGCAAGGTACGAGAACAGCCACAAGCACCTCAGGGTTCACCTAGTAAATGCCTCCTGCTACCTTTCCAAGCCCAACTCAAAAGGCACCCGTGGCCTCCTGATCTTCTACTATACCAATTATTACATTTTCCTGTTTATGCTTTTGCCTTCTCTGCCGGACAGTGTGCTCTCCTGGACAGAGCAACAAAATCCACTCCAGGGACCACACAAAACATCTGTGTTGAATGGAAGTCTGATTTTTTTAAAAAAGGAATCCTACCTACCTACAGATTTTGCAGTTGCTTTCTTCAAGTTCTTTCTCCTTATTTATCCAGGTTTTCTCTTCTGTGCGAAGTACAGTGTGACTGACAAACCTAGTAAAGGAAGAACTGCTGATTAATCCTAAAAACCACAGCTGAAATGCAGGAAACAGAGCATTTTAGAGAAAGGCTATCTTAGGACCAGGGATAAATCGTACAGTTCTTGGCACCCCAACTTCTAGCAGAGGTGATGGCATAAGAATATCAGGAAAAGGAAAGCCTTCTGAAAACTGTTCTTCATATATGCTCAGCAGTTCCAAATTCCGGAATTTAAAATTTAATCTTGGGGCTGGGGATTTAGCTCAAAAGTGCCTGCCTGGCAAGCGCAAGGTCGTGAGTTCGGTTCCCGGTACCGGAGAAAAACCAAAAAAAAAAAAAAAAAATCTTAAACACATTCATACACCATTCCCAACCTCGTATGCGGAAGAACATAAACCACATTAACAGTGTATGTGTGTGTGTGTGCGCGCACTCGGGCGCGCGGAATTGAAGCCTGGGCCTCCTATGTGCTAGGCAGGCCACCAGTGAGCTCCAACTCCAGCAATTGTAGTGATCTCTTGACAATGATCTTTTATAGTGGTTTTGTTTTCACTCTGCTTTTCTGAATTTTCAGTAATAAAAACAGACTATGCAGAAAAACTAAAAAATGTCACCTCTTTCAAACAGTCTAAGATTTACTTTGGTGCACTTGAGGTTAACAGAGGAGGTACAGGATATACTGCCCGTAAGTAAGTATCTTCATGATTGTTTCTCAGAGCATACAAGGTGAGGGAGCAATTGAGAAATATACTAAAATCAGTGTTTGCCTGTAGAACCCAAGTTCCTTTCCACTACGCCTGTTTTCAAACAGACAAAGCACTATGCCCAAATAGGAGTTCAAAACATTCTTGTCAAACAAATTAAGGTTTAGCACTGCACTTCACTAGCACTGTGATCAAAGGAAGGAACTGTATGAGGACAGAGGGAAGACGGACTTTGAGGCTGCCTGGGCCCGGGTTTCATCACAGCCACCTGTGGCCAGGGCCGCTGCATCAGTTTCTCTGGACCTTGGTTTCTTCGTCTGAAAAACAGAGAAGCTAATACTTAAGAATGAGTTTCTGAATCAAAATCCTCAAGTGTGAAGAGTCTAATCTTGTCACAATAATTAGTCCAAAAGGGGAACATTATATTTTATGGTATGTTATTCGTTTTATTCCTTTATTTATCTATTTGGTTTTTTGAAACAGGGTCTCATTGTGTGCTTCAAGCTGCTCTTGAATTCACCATGCAGCCCAGAATGGTTTGAACACATGGATCCTCCTGCCTCAGGCTCTGGAGTACTGGTATTACAGGTGTGCGTCACCAAGCCCAGCTATGGTACGCTATTCTCACGCAACAATTTAAAGCACAAATGTGCAGCCTTTATTTAAGCTCAATCTTCAAAATAATGAAGGACTACTTGTAGGATACAAAGGAGAAATCTGAGAATATAGCTAAGCTTTTCAGATGTGAGTCTTTATCAAGCACAGTACTTTTAATATATGTTAACATTTCTAATATATTAATCACTTTCACACATTCTTAGCAAAATACAGCCATTAACGTTTACTTCTGCAAAAACAGTATCACGGCTATGTCCAAAAGCAGGTCCTTCAGAAACCTATTAAAATCCACGGTGTTGCCCTTTCTCAAACTGGGTTATGTGCTGTTGTGCCACAAATGACGCATACATCTTTCATGAACGCTGATCTAAGTCAATGGTAAATAATTAGAAATGCTTTCATATACACACTGAGCGCCCAGTTTGTGTTTCCATTAATCCAGGCAGCAGCAGAGCGGGAGAGGGGCCATCTCTCCTAGGGCCGCGGAGCCTTTGTGCTGACTTTATCTCTGAGCAAGATGAAAGACTGGAAGGTCTGAGAGGGGTGCACACAGCCGCTGTCCTCGAGATTTTAAGATTTCTGCCACCAGAGGATGCTGGAGTAGGGACGCAGAAGTCGGAAGAGACCAATTAGGAGAGGGCACCAATAACCCAGGTAGGAGCTAGCATCGCAGGGAAGGCGCAGAAGCCCCGGACGCTAGCTATTCTGGGGCAGAGCCAGGGGCACCCTGCTGCTGATGCACGGGGGAGAGGACAGTACCCAGGCTGTCGACCTTAAGTTTTCTGATCTGTGACTGGAATCCACAAGTTAGACCCGGGGGATCAAGAGTTCAGTTCGAACAGGTAGAAAGCAAATTTTCCATGACTGTTTTTAGTATGATAACGGGCGAATAAAGGAAATCTGAACTTTCCAACAGACTTCTTCAAGAATTACTCCAGAAAGGGAAGACAGACGTTAGCACCCTGGTCTTTGGAGGAGCCTTGGGCAGACACGGATTAGAAGCACCAGTCTATGTCTTCCGATCCCAAGGGCTGAAAGTGCTCTCTCGGGTTTGCTTCCTGTCCTTCCGCCTCCTCTCCTGCTTCCAAGCCGCTATGTGCTCGTGCGCTTACCTGACCCTACCAGGGCCTCTCCGCCGTCTAATTCCCCAAGGCTGGAGGCAGAGCGAAAAGTTGCCCGGCGGCTCCGACCGCTTTCCAGGCGACAAGCATCTCCGCAGGGCTCGGCCCGCTTCCGGGTCGCCCGGGCGCGATCGGCCCCAGACGGAGGCCCGCAGCGCGGGAGCCGAGGCCCGCGGGAAGCTGTCCGCGCACAGCAGCGCCGGCCGACGCCCCGCCGAGCCGCAGGTCCGCAGACCGACTCCCAGCTCCCGAGGACCCACCCAGGCCCTGGCCCAGAGGGCGCCCCGCGACTCACTTCCTCTCCGATCTTTCTCCACCGAAAGGCAGGGCGATTCACGTTCCGCAACGGAGACAGCCCTGGGGCGGCGGCCGGAGCAGAGGCGAGCGGGCGACAACTTGCGCAGCAAGAGACAGCCGCTGCTCAAGGAGGCGGGCGGGGGGCGGCTGGGCGGAGCGCCGGAGACCGCAGCCGCGGGAAGCGCGCGGGCGGGGCGGGGCCACCGAGGAGGGCGTGGCCAGCCCGGAAAGCCCCGCCCCCGACTCCTGCCGGCAGCTCTACTCGGAAACTGTGTCGGGCCCTTTAAGTCGGCCCCTGTCGGGGGCTGAAAAGTGTACGGCTTCCGGGCATGCGCACTCCGCAGTGCCGAGGACCGCCCCGCCCGGAAGCGAGGTAGGTGCAACCCGCTGCCCGCTGCGGGTGGCCCCGAGGCCGGCGACGCGGGGTGCGGCCCGGGGAAGGCGCGCGTGGGGGTCCTCGGC